ACCCCCAAACCAAGCCCCAGCCAGTCCCCGAGCAGCGGCCCCCCCGGCCAGCTTCCCCCAGTTTATATACTGAGCATGACGTCACATGGTATAGAATATCCCTTTGGCCAGTCTGGGTCAGCTGTCCTGGCTGTGCCCCCTCCCAGCTTCTTGCTGGCAGGGCATGAGAAGCTGAAAAGTCCTTGACTAGTGTAAGCACTACTTAGCAACAACTAAACATCAGTGCGTTATCAACATTGTTCTCATCCTAAATCCAAACCACAGCACTGTACCAGCTACTAGGAAGAAAATTAACTCTATCCCAGCCGAAACCAGTGGGCACATCAGGACAAAAATATAGAAACTTTCTTCAAATGTTTTCTAAGTTAAAAAATTTGGAATATGATGAATCAACTTTTTTTTTTTTTAACAGCACTATACTTTTTTATATATAAAAGTATGAATTAAAATCAGTTTTCCCTATAGGCATGTTTAATTGAAGCACATCGATCCCTAAAATAATTCCATCCAGTATCCCCAGCACTATATTATCTCAAAGCAGGTAAAATAAAAAAAAAAAACAACCCCCGAGATTAGAGGTGAATCACAAAATTAATTCCAAACCAATTACTCTGTGTCCTGCTCAACATACTTTACCCATCTACATTCGCTCTTATTTCCAAGTCAGCTTAAAACTTTTAGAAAAAAACAAAACAAGCCTTTGCAGGTTCTTAATCATCACATTAACTTCGGAATTTTTAAAGCTTTTTTATTATATGTCATATCTTTTTCTTATGTGTACAAGGACCAGTCTTATTTCCCAGCAAAATATTTCAGCCTTTTCTCCATACCAGCAAAATAACTCACAATGAAGTGTACAAAAGGGTGAGGAAAGACAAACTGTCATGGTATTTGCTCATGTACAGCATCCTAATGCACTCTTCTCATATACAAGACACCTTTGTGATTATGATTTTCCAGAAACAGAGAGGTTTGTCCAACTTTCCCTCCATTTTTGTTCCAGTGTGGTTAGGACTCTGTTCTGGAAGTAG